TCTCAAGCAGTGGGGGCGCTGTGGCCACCTCACACATCAGATCATATAAACATTTTGGAATGTCTCACAGTTTGGAATGTGATTCAGCATTTTGCTCCCCTCAACATGTTCTGGTCCACACAGACAACAAAGTGACTGCAGCTTACATAAACCGGCAGGGGGGCGTGTGCTCAGCCCAACTGTTACGCATTGCAAGACAGCTGTTGTGTTGGGCACACAAAAACCTGCTCTCCATCAGAGCAGTGTACATCCCCAGTGTCCTGAACAGAGGGGCGGACATAATGTCCAGGGGCGGTCCGCGCCACGGGGACTGGAGTCTCCATCCCGAGCTGATTTCTTGGATTTGGAGCAGGTTTGGCAGAGCAGCAGTGGATTTGTTCGCCACACGGGAGAACGCCCAGTGTCAATTATGGTTCTCACTGAGCCCACGGGATGGCCCACCGTTAGGAGTGAACGGTTTTGCCCACAGCCCGTGGCCAAAAATGCTCCTTTACGCGTTTCCTCCAGTCCCTCTAATATCACGGGTTCTGAACCGAGTCCAGGAGGAAGAACTGTCAGCCATTTTTGTAACCCCCGAGCGCGTGAGCGCCCCGTGGTTCCCAAACCTGCAACGTTTGTTATCGGGTCGGCCGTGGAAACTGCCGTGGAGGGACGATGCTCTCCTCCAGGCGGGAGGAGTAGGAGTCACCCAGAAATAGTCCAGCACCTTTGGGTCTGGCTGCTGAGCAGATCCGCTTAGAGAAGATGGACCTCTCTCATGGAGTGGTGCGCACAATTCAAGACTCATGAGCCGCTTCCACCACAGCGCTGTACACATCAAAGTGGACAGCTTTTCAGCGCTGGTTCACGGAGAAAGGTGTAGAGGCCATCTCATGTCCACTAAGTGGCATGCTGTCCTTTCTGCAGCAGCTGATGGACAGAAATCTAGCATTCAGCACACTTAAAACTTATGCTGCAGCTATTTCCTCCTGTCATGAAGGCTTCGGTGACGGAGCAGTTTTTAATCATCTGCTGATGAAGTGTTTTCTAAAAGGTGTACGGAGACACAGACCGGTGTCACGCCCACTACCTCCACAGTGGGACCTAACGATGGTTCTGCGAGCTCTGATCAAAGCTCCTTTTGAGCCTTTAGATCAGGTTTCACTTAAATTCCTGTCACTTAAAACAGCCCTGCGGTTGGCTTTGACATCAGCAAAGAGAGTGAGCGATTTAGCTGTGCTCTCTGTTGCCCCGTCATACCTCAGGATTCAGGCTGATGGCAGCTCAGCTGCGCTGAGACCTAATCCAGCCTTTATGCCCAAAAACATCACAAGTTCATTTAAATCGAGAATGATAACATTGGAGGGGTTTTATCCTCCCCCTCACAAATCAGAAGAAGAAGCATCTTTTCGTCTCCTCTGTCCTGTGCGTGTGCTGGCATGTTACATAACAGGCACGGCTCCTCTGCGGCAGACTCAGCGTCTGTTTGTGCATTATAGGGACGTCTCTGCAGGTTGCCTGTTATCCACCCAGTGTCTTTCACACTGGCTGTGTGAGGCCATTTCTGAGGCTTACAGAGAATCAGGATTGGAGTCTCCAGAGAACCTCAGAGCTCGTTCCATCAGAGGAATTGCATCTTTGACAGCTTTGCATAGTGGTATGACAGTGGACAACATTTGTACGGCGGCCGCTTGGACATCGCCTTGTTCATTTATCCGTTTCTATCTGCGTGATGTTTCAGCCTTTTCCATGGCCCATACTGTTCTTAGTGTTTTAACAGAATGAATCTTACTGTTTTCATGGAATTTTGCTTTAAACTCACATCTGACTGCATGCGATTGCAGTGTGAGATATTTATTTTCAGTCACAAGTTTGTGACTGCTGTTTTTCTATTGTTACTAATCAGTTCATGACTACTGTTACCAATCAGTTCATTTGATTATTAATCAGTTCATATTGAAGAGCTGCTGATCTGCTCTGTTCAATGTTACACGGTTACAATTGTAACCTCTGTTCTTTCCCACTCTCGGCAGCAGGACTGCTTTCAGCCTTCCCCTTTTTTCCCCCATTCGAAAACTTTTTCTCTCCGGGGCACTTCTGTGCATGGAACGCGTAATTATGTAGCGCGCTTCTGTGCATGGTGCGCGTAATTACGCAGCGCATAATTACGCAGACAGAAGGCTGAGTGATGGAATGTTTTTTGGTGCAAGCAGGCGCTTCATATTGTGTCTGAATGGATCCAGTGAGGCATAGACTAAATCCTGCTTCGCCTTTAACCCACTAGCAATAGGCTTAAAGGGCGAAGCATATACGTAATAGAACGTTGGTTACGTACTGTAACCCCATATTCTATGAGTATAGGCGTAGCCCTTTAAGCTCTGGGCCTTACTGGTTCCTAAATGGCTGAAGAAAAAAGCTATTTAGGAGCCGATTACCCGGTCTCACCGTAATTTATACGGACCGGGGGTGAGGCCCACACAGCAGGTGGGCGTGGATTAAAGTTTTCAGTGCTGCTCTGCGCGCGATGGGAGAAAACCCACTAGCGACAGCCTTAAAGGGCTACGCCTATACTCATAGTATCTGGGGTTACAGTACGTAATCAACGTTTTTTACTATGACACCTTCTTTGAATAACAATTATTTTCGAATCTGAAATAGATTAATGGCCTGAAATTAACACTTCAATTTAATGTTTTATTATAATTTGAAGAAATTATGAGCCGTTTATTTTAAGGCACGATAAAATGTTGCCTCAGTGGTCACTTCACTGCCCTTTTTTTATAGGAGTGCATTCAGCTGGGAGGTGAATGAAGTTATGAAACAAACAAAAATATATTTATTACAGGAAAATGAACTCTCAAACATTCAAACTGAAATCTGGATCTGTTGCCTGTTAAACATTTTCTTTCTGCTGCACAGTACCCACAATACATTCTGCTCCCACTGTGTTAAAAGATTAATTAAGCTTCTGTCCATTCATCCATCCATCTGTCCATCCATTCATCTATCTATCCATCCATTCATCCATCCATCAATCCAACAATCATCCATTCATCTATCCATCCATCCATTCATATATCTATCTATCCATCCATCCATCTATCATCTGTCCATCCATCCATTTCTCTGTCCGCCTATCCATCCATCCATCTATCATCTGTCCATCCATCCATCCACCCACCCATCTGTCCATCTCTCCATTCTCCCTCCATCCATCCACCCGCCCGCCCGCCCACCCATCCATCCATCCATCCATCCATCCATCCATCCATCCATCC